CCTCTCGCCGACCATTTTCAATTTTCCCGCCAGAATCTCTTTAATTTTCGGACGGGAGAGGTTGAAAAATAGAACGCTCCGAGGGGAACGTCGACAATTAGAGATGGATATTTGTTGGGTATAGGAATTCATTTTTAATTGATTAACCCTAATCGTACCACGTGTTTTTATAACGAATCATAACCGGGACGTGACTCTCAGTCACTTATGACAATAAACAGAATGATGCAATATGACATAACCAATAAATTTAAGTAGAAAGTTCGAACGTGACTCGAAGTCACATTGGGGTCCGATTAGGGTTAAAGAAAAATTGTTAGTGATTTAAGTAGACCATCTTTTAATCCTTAGTTCGTCGTTACTTTCGATTGTTCTATTTTCTGTTTTACTGTTTATGCGCAGGCAGAAAATAATAAAGAAACATCAGGGGTTTACATTTGAAATGGATTTGTAATTGATTGATTGAAGAGGCACAGAGTTCATTTTGACACTTCATATTACGTGTTTATTTATTTTATCTTTCCTTTTCTTATTTCTTCGTTCTTATATATGTTTGCTCAGTTTCGATGGTGAAATTGAATTAACAATTAAATAGAAATGGTACTAGAAGGAAGAATATAAAGAAATTGAGGGTGACTTTTTCGAAGTAAACAGGTCAAACCCTTTTCTTCTGTGCTACAAAGGCAGCCCCATATTTTGACCAGAGGAATGCATTTCCGTGATTCGGTAATCGCCTTAGCGCGGCTCCGACCACCGTTACTACCTTATCTTGTACGGCCCGCGGGATACAGAGAAAGGGAATGGGGAGAACAGAGAAAGATGGCGCTGATTGAAACACAGTTGAAAACCATCTGAAGGGATTAATGTGTTTTTTGGAACCATCGTAAATGTATGTAACAAACCGTAATCAAATTATACCGAGAACATTACTATCGAAAACTGAGAACACTTTAACGATGCTTGTTCTATCATTTCTTAATGGTCAATGATCGATAACTGAACATTTCTTAACCAACTATTCAACAATAATAGCAACATTAATCTCGAACCAATAACTCAACTGTTACAACGTAATCTAATTACCTTTCTCGCGCTGATTAAATAAATGAAGTAGTCCAACTACTTTTAGATATAATATAGTCACTAAGAAAATTAATCGACTTCCGCTACGCAAAGCGTCAACTCTCACAAAAAGACAGCCACGCACAATTACTAGAATAATCAACATCCCCGAAGCTCGCAAAGAAAATTCATTTCAATCTCTAGAGTTCAAAATCAAACACTTTCGATGTGTAAATGAAAGGTCCGCTTCGAAGAAACTGTAACGAAACCGCCGCGGATTAGAGGGGGAACAATTCGCGGAGGTCGGGAATGGCCGAGACGATCAATCGGGGAACAAGAGCGCGGCGCGAGAAAAGCGGAAACGAAAATGCGAGCCGGCGTAACAGCCGCGGGTCTGCTTAGCATAAAAATGGCCAATTATCCGGCTAACAAGCCGGCCGGGGCGACGAAAACCCCGGGAAATACTGGCGGGGGTTTTCGGGGGCTGGTCCTAACTCCGTTAGCGCCTCGCCTCCCTGAAGAAGATTAGTTAGCGTAAATGCCGTCGGTTGTAGCATTTTTATTCCTGATTACCGTTTCTCGTCCTGCTAATCTCGTTACCTTGACATTTGAAAACTTCACTGCGCCGTCTCACCGGCGCGGCGCAGCTTCTCCCCGTAAAAGATGAAGGAGGAAGCGTCAGTCTTCGCGTTCGAAGGATACACGACAATGCCGGCATGATTTCCGTTGGACTGAATGCCATCCTAATTCTTCCGGGAATAATCGCGAGGTGCAAGTTTGTTTGCTCCAGCGTTCATCCGCGTTCCTGGCCTCTCCTGCCGTCACTCCTGAAGACTCTCGGAACTCTTTCCACTCGGAGCACGCGAACCAAGTCGCTTTTCACGTTAGGTGAAGGGAAAGTGGATGGAGAACGGTGGAATGGAGAATTTAAATGATTCTTGTGTCGAGGAAATAGTAATTGACAGTAGCATTATTGAACAGGATAATTGGTGCGTTCAAATCTTTTAGGAACCGTAAGAGTGTACTTATTGAGATACCAATTTGTTCAGTCTGGGCAAATCAGTTCCTTCAGTAGTTTATCAGTTGTCAATATAAGTTAATAGTAACAGTATCAGTAACTAATCAGAGACGGTACATTCCAAAGGATAATGATTCATAGTTAGACATTCGGCCATTCTAAAGCCAGGCATTATCACGAAATTTCATTTTAGAAACAGTAGAATATCTCTCAAAGATTCATCGACCAATAAGCATCGAAATCCAGTCCATCGCTTCCAATCCAAAAAACCGAACTCAAATGTTCCCTTCGAACGCTACCATTCATTTCCCGCCGACAAACAATAAACTGAACCTCGTATCGCGCAACAAATCAGTCGCTTCCGCTCGGAACTATCGTTAAAGGGTTAACCAACCCTCAAAACTATAAACCAGAAACACATGTCTGGAGAAAAGAGGGTGGTGGCGGGGCGACGGTAGGCGGAGGAGGAAGGAGGGGCAGCGTCGGTTAAACCAGGCCGAGGCAGCCGAAAGCTGGAGGCGGATGTCGCGCCGGGGCAAAGTTAAATTAAATCACGGGCGAAGGCAGCTAATATTGTAGTTTATCTGGCGGGACATTAGCGGGGTGAAATATGCGCCTCCTTCGCCCGAACTTAAAATCAAGATCCACCGAAGTTCAGAGCCTCGCTCGCGCTCGAGCTTTCGAGGGCGGTGCGAACGGGGAGGGAGATGGTTGACGCGGCCGCGCTCGCGCGATACCCTCGCGAGCTCGCGTCCTTCCTGCTAAGTCGCGCATGAAAATACTAATTATTATACCGATTATTAATACGAAAAGTTCCGTGCCGGTGTGCCCGTGCTGTTAAGCTTCGCCTGGCGCGGAACGGGGGCTGCGAGTTTCTTGAGAGACGCAGGCATCCGGATTACGCTTACACTCG